GCGCCTGGCGCCGCCACCCGATGTTGGCTGCAGCGGCCAACGTCGCTCGGTTTGACGGAAAATGCGGCACCGAACGCTCCTTAAGGTTGTGAGCGCACATGCTTAAAACTTAGCGGACTGCAGTCTGTCTCATTATTAAAAAAAAGCTTTCGGCGGCTATGGGCTGCCACACGATCCTGGACTCCACCAGGATTTGTCCGTCCTGGCAGCTCAGCTGGTTATAGCACCTGTCTTCCAACCCACCTAACCGCGGCGGCGTCAAGTCCAGCCACTTTAGGTGCTCGCTATTTGTTCCCAACAGACATAGCCTGCGGCCGGTGGCACGTACATCAGGTGACGTCAGTGACGGAACGGACCGTGCCGAGCGTTGCGGCACGTTTAATTTTCGCCACCAAATCCTGAGGTTGACCTGAAATTGCATGGTCGGATGATCGGGGTCAGGGATCACGCAAGCGCTGCATACCGTGAGCTCTGCACCAGAAATCCATCCATTCAAAAGGTTCCGACTAAATCATAAAACATGAAGATGCCGCGCACGAATGGGAGCTAAAGTTTTCATGGAGGTGAAAAACTTCAGACTTGCCGAAAAATTTCCGGAATGGACTGATGAATGCGTTGGCTGAGCGGTAGAGGGATGATAACTGCAACTAAGAAGAATTTCGCATCGGCGTCATTTCAGCAGCATTAAACATATTTCACTACTGTTTCGACCGCATGGAATTCGACACCAATATTCAATGGCTATTTTTAGGACAGATGATGACGCTGATCCACGGTTCAGGACGCCTCAGTTTCAAAGGTCATTTCACGCTAAAGATACATTGGTGACAGCGTGACATCGGGGCAGTGGTGTTTCGCACGAGCAATCTGCTCCCTAGCTATTAAACCTTGGCGTCAGGGGGTTTTCATCCAAGCAGGCTGCTCGAAACTCGGTGGCGCAGTCTGACCGAACTACCTGTTATGCCGGTCTTGTTATGGTTTTGTGGCGATCTTGTTATGGTTTAATGGCGGCTTCCATCGTGGTAGCGGTGGCAAATCCAGCATATCATGCCATTTTGGGACCGTAGGCTCTCTCTACTCGACAGTGAATAATGTTCCGAAAATCTCAGATGAGACGGAACAGGCGGGCAAAGTGTTGTTCACCAGAAATCGTTGATCAAAAGGAACAGAAGGAAATTCGGTTATCCCCTCGGTCGAAGCTGCAACAGACAGAGAACTTCTCGGGTCTGGTGAGGCAGCAGGTGCACGGAGGGGGGGGGGGGAGGGGGCTGGGCGACATAGAATGGCGGTCACTACGCTTCTGCATCTGGGAGACGATCAGAGCGACTGCAGAGGAAACTGTGCTAAAAACGATGCGGAAAGGTCGCGACGCCTGGCTGCACTCACGGAACCAACAATTAGATCCACTGATTTTGGTGTCGCGCCAGCGTGAATCCGATTGTGTGCAAGAGTTTCCAGCATTGGTAGGTCGCCGGAACCAAATCATCGTGCATTGATGGTTGCCGAATTTCGTAGGTATCACACGAGAAGATCATGTTGACATGACAATGTCTGGTGTTTTGCACTTTCATTGGTACGACCACGAATGCAATGCGGCGTGGACAACACGAGTACAATGTGCAGCGGCACGACTGACGAGGGAGGAAGGAACGGAGGGGCGGAGCTGGGAGCAGTCTGACGGGACCAGGCAGCGGCACGTCTGACGAGGGAGGAGAGGGGGAGGACAGGGCTGGGAGGAGTCTACCCGAGCGGCACGTCTGACGAGGGAGGGACGGAGGGGCGGGGCGGGGAGCAGTCTGACAGGACTGGGCAGCGACACGACTGACGAGGGAGATAGGGAGGGGGAGGGGCGGTGCTGGAAGCAGTCTACCCGAGCAGCACGTGTGACGAGGGAGGGACGGAGGAGCGGGGCGGGGAGCAGTCTGACAGGACTGGGTAGCGACACGACTGACGAGGGAGGTAGGGAGGGGGAGGGGCAGTGCTGGAAGCAGTCTGACGGGACCAGGCAGCGGCACGACTGAAGAGGGAGGGAGGGAGGGGCGGGGCTGGTAGCAGTATGACGGGACCGGGCAGCGGCACGTCTGACGAGGGAGGTAGGGAGGGGGAGGGGCGGTGCTGGAAGCAGTCTGACGGGACCAGGCAGCGGCACGTCTGACGAGGGAGGGAGGGAGGGGCGGGGCTGGTAGCAGGCTGATGGGACCGGGCAGCGGCACGTCTGACGAGGGAGGCAGGGAGGGGGAGGGGCGGTGCCGGAAGCAGTCTGACGGGACCAGGCAGCGGCACGTCTGACGAGAGAGGGAGGGAGGGCGAGGCTGGAAATAGTCCGCCCGGACTGGGCAGCGGCACGACTGACGAGGCAGGGGGGGGGGGGGGGGGCGGGGCTGGTAGCAGTCTGACGGGACCGGGCAGCAGCACGACCGAGCGCGGCCAACCGCCGACGCCATCTGCCGGCCAGACCTTGAGTTAAGCAGCCAGTCTCCGCTCACCGAACGCCGTACCGTCAAGGATAAAAAGCTAAGCCATTTCTGCCCACGTGATTATTAGATCAACTCGCAGGAACCGGGACGCGCCGACGCTTTTAATAGAATGGGGCAGCCTAATCCCGCGAGGTGCCAGGAACGGAAATGGTGAGCCGTTCCCACGTCCACAGTGGAAGCGATCCACAACGCATGTGCTGTCCACAGTGGACGCGATCTGCGCAATGAGCGTAGTCCAGGCCCGTAAAGTAAGGAACTGGACAGGCAGCCCCTCAGCTCGGTGCTCCGTCCACGAGATCAGTTCATGGGACCGGGGTCGCTCGGACGGGCGCCGAGTGGCGCTCCCAGGCGTCATCGCGTCCAGGACATGCCGCGGCGACACCCACGGGTGTCGAGAGACGCGTCGTGAGCCGGGCCGGCATGATCGGCCGAGCTCGCTCTGGTCGGCGCCTGGGAGACCTCAACCCAGCACAGATGCGGAGCAGCACGGCCGCGCCCGGCCCACAGAGTTGCCCGCGCCCCGATGGTGCCGCCAGCACGTGCTGGGCCGCGGAATGCAGCTCTTCACTAGCTTCGCGCTCAATCGTAAAGGTTCACTCATCCTCTAAATGTTAGCGCCTGAGGAATGCCGCATGTCGGAAACACTCTCCGTAGCTGGCGGTCGGTAATATGCGGATAGGCACGCGAATGCTATCCTAGCATCACTGTGTGGTGCGCCGCAGCTTATGTGCACTCCCGAGACAGCCAGCAGATCGCTGGCACGCCATTGCCACGGTCTTCGCCTGGCTGGCACGCCATTGCCACGGTCTTCGCCTGGCTGGCACGCCATTGCCACGGTCTTCGCCTGGCTGGCACGCCATTGCCACGGTCTTCGTCTGGTTGGCACGCCATTGCCACGGTCTTCGTCTGGGTGACGCGCCATCGCCACGGTCTCCACCCAACTGGCACACAATTACCACGGTCTCCACCCAGCTGGCATGCCATTGCCACGGCCTCCACCCAGCTGGCGCGCCATTGCCACGGTCTCTGCCCAGCTGGCACGCCATTGTCACGGTCTTCGCCTGGCTGGCACACCATTGCCACGGTTTTCGTCTGGCTGGCACGCCATTGCCACGGTCTTCGCCTGGCTGGCACGGTAAGACGTTTGAAAGCAATATGTCGTTTTTGAACTACGATTGGACGCGACCACGTTGTCAAGAGAGTGGCGGCACAACGGACGCCATCATCCTTTCCACAGCTTCACACCAGCACGCTTATAATTTCTCGACGAAGCCGCATCCCTCCCGGACGAAAGCATCGCCCCCGGCACACACTGCACACGTTGAGCGCCATCGAACCCGGCGCATCTTCACTGACGCGCCCAGGCCCCTCCTGGGCCGTCCTCTTAGGCCAGCCCGTGTTTTGAGGCGACTGTGAGCCAGGGCTGCCGTTTCTCCCCCACCAATCCCCACATCGCCACGCCCAGCCACCCACCCATGCCTTTTCAGCACCAGCACAAGGGGGTGGGGGTGCGAGAGCGTCACAGGCAGCGCTCAGCTTCATTACGTATATATATATGTATGTATTTTCCATTACGATACAGCCACCATTCATGCCATTGCAGCGACGCCGGCCGAACGGCTCAGGAGCGGCCAGAAAGACCACGTGACCTCAGGTCGCACCAGCCAGCCGCCCGACCCCGACGCCAGCCGCCAGCCAGAGGCGGTCACACCTCCACAGTTGAGCACGATATCAAACGGCTAGAGCAAGCGGTCAGTTGGGCGGGCGCGCGGCTTTTGTGCGGCGCGCGGAAGTCACGGTCGGTAGCCGGACTCCGCAATGCTGGCCACACACGAGCGACGCAACACAAACACGGCTTCCCTCCCCCCAGAGGCGGCGGCTACGGCGGATTAACGGGCCGGCCGGCGCGCCAGTGCGAGACGCATCACAGTACAGTACATAACAACGGATAACGCCGCCGCCGGCGGCCCGACGCGCGCTCTGGGGCGCCGCGCCGCAAAGAGACAGCAGCCTGGTTATACGAAGCGCCGGCAGCGGAGACGGTGAGCCAGCGGAGCATCGACAGTCAGCCGGTACGCGCAGCGAGCCGAGTCGCCGGCGTGGGGCGGCCGCCGGCCGGCCGTGATCAGCGCCGCAGCGGCGACCGGCCGACGCGCAACCGCGGCGGAACTTGAAGACTAACATGAAAGACACACATGCCCGGGCGGCGGCCGGCGGGCGCCATCAGTCGGCAAGCGGCGCCGACAGCAGGCACGGCAGCGACTTGCGTAGCGGGCCGCCGCGGCCCGACCGTACGCCCCGGCCGTGCACCAGCAGCAGCTCCGAGGAGCGCGCGCGCGCCGCGCCCCGGCCGCCCAGCCGCCGCTCGTCGCCCGTCTCCACCGGCGGCAGCGGCGCGGCGGCGGCCGACGCGGCCGTCACGGCAGCCGACGGCGCCAGCCCGGCGCTGGCGCCGCGGCCGCCGGCGCGGCTACGTCGACCGCGGCGGCCGACCGGCCAGCGCGCGCCGCCGGCGCCGGCCGGCTCCTCGTCGATCCAGCGCACCGACAGCTCGTCGTCGGCGCGGGCTCCGCTGCGCGTGGAGACCGAGTCGTCACCGGCACTGCCCTGGAACGCGGCACAGACAATGTCACACTCGCGTCCGCACAGCTCGTAACGCTGGCCTCTCTACAGACACGGCGGGCGACAGCGCCGCGCCCATGCTTACCATCTGATATAGGCGTGGTTGATTCCGGGTGGAGTTGGAATCAATTCCAAAATTGACCAGTGGTATTTGATTCAGGATGAAATCCACTGGAATGACAGCATGACATCGATTCCGCGGATAACTTTCAGCAAGTGAGAGTCGAGGTTAAGTCAATGGCGTTGGTTGCTATCATGTGCGAGTCCACTGATATACAAGCATCGGTGCCAACTGCTATTCTCATTCTAGTCTGAGTTTACACAGGCAACATCTGAGACAGTTAACACTTCTTTTACCACAACGGATGTCCTGCGCAGTCTTACGTAATTCGTACAACGTGTCATGACCCAAATTGTTTTCACAGACATCGATCTGTCGGAAACGATTCCAGCATGAGACACATGCCCTCAGGTCATATACGAATCGATACAAAATTGTGCTGTGCTGCTCGCGAGTCAGAGCCGCAATCATCTGCAACTCGGCAGTCAGGTTTGTAGCCAGAGCCTCCAAAAAACAACAGCGCGCGTCACCAGGCGCTCGACCTCGCCGCCTCACCAAGGGCCCGCACCAGGCACGTTCAGCCGCGCCACGCACGCGAGATCCGGCGCAGCAGGGAGCGCTTACGAAACCTCTGCGGGATCCAATCCTGGCGCTACGCTACGACGCAACGGGGAATAGGGCGTCCCGACGGGTGTAGCCCGCGGTTGCATTGGGAGCTTTGCAAAAGCCGAAAATCTTCATCACACCACTCGTGCCACATCTGGAGCAGTGTTGCACAAGTCGGTATGCGGTGTGGGAGCACTAGAGAGACCCAGCTGTGGGGAACGGTCTCGTCGGTTAGCTGGCGGCGGCGGACTGCCTCAATCTGACTTGGAGACGGTAAAGGACTGCGGTTAGTCTGGGCGAGAACCTCACACCAACACCCGCCCGAAACTGGTGCTGATGCTGCTGTTCAACATGCGCCGATCAGATAAGGTTCAGTTTAGCGGAGACTGATCAGACATGGTTCAATCTAGCGGGGACTGATCATATGGGATTCAGTCTAGTGGAGACTGATCAGACATGGTTCAATCTAGCGGGGACTGATCAGATGGGGTGCAGTCTAGCGGAGGCTAATCAGATGGGGTTCAGTCTAGCGGCGACTGATCAGATGGGGTTCAGGCTAGCGGAGACTGATCAGATGGGGTTCAGTTTAGCGGAGACTGATTCCAGCCGGATTGAGGTGACAGCAGACATTAGGCTGATAGAAAATGACCTCAGCCACGAGCTGCCGGCAACCGAACAGAGTGATTGCAGCCAACGGCGAAGACAAGAGATGTTTTTGTTGCTCACTGGGATTTTCGGGCGCGCAGGCTGGAGTGGTTATTTTGCGCCCAAAACAGTGTTTTTATTTAACTAATGAGATGTGTAAATAGCCTCGAAGTTGACATCATTAAGAAACAAAAATACTTGTATGGATTCGAGAAAGCGCGAGTTGTCCCCAGGTATATCACAGAACGTGCAGCATGAAAAGCTGTCCAAATTGGCGTATACTTTCTTCCGCGAAGTGTGGACAAGATAAGGCCACGCGGCGAACAGTGAGAAAGTCGCCACATCGCTGGTGCGGAGGCCTGTCGGTCGCAGGCGGAAGGTAGCAGGAAGGACTCATGCAGAAGGGACTCACAGGTAGCAGAGGGACTCACGCGTGTGGCCAGTACACAGGCCGCCCAGTATCACCTCTCGTCGCCTCACCTTGCGACTGCGAGACAACCCCTGGCCCTGCTGGCGTTATATTGCTCTCGGCTTATTGCTGCCTGTGCCATGCCAGGAACACTGCCGTTTCCTGTCCGGAAAGGTCCTGATCGTTGGGTAAAAGCATCTGGCGGGGATTAAGGCAGAACGTGCACATGGTGCCAGCGCTGCTCATTTGGTGGCGGCGTCAGCCAGCTCGTTGCCCGCAACTCCAACATGACGATGGCCAGAGATCCTCCCGGTCCCGAGTCCTCTCACATGACTGCGGACCGCATTGAGACTGATCTCCGCCGGGTGTGAATCTCCGGCGAGCTCGCCACCGGGAGTGCAGCGCTCTCCGCCGAGGTGAGCCGAGGACGGGCCGCTGACGGCGGATGTCCTGCTCCCAGGACACGCGACCAGAACGGGCGCCGACGCCAGCGGCGCGAGCGGGCGCCGAGCGGCGGCGGTAACGGTACCGCCGGTGCAGTCCAGCAGCCGCCAGGCGCCGGCTGCCGACCGCAGAGCCGTACCCCGTCGGAGGTCGGCCAAGGGCAGTCTGCATGCCGCGGCCGGCAGGCCCACTCGCCGGGGCCCATCGCCGCTCGCCAAGCAGCCTCTACGCCCGCCGGCCCCGCACGACACGGCCGGCGCGGGGAGGGGCGGGGCGGATGAGCCGGAGCGTCGCGCGCGGCACTTTCACTTCTGCACAGGCCGCATTTTTATGCATGCCGTCTGGTTTAGCGGTCAGCAGCGCGCCGGCTTATGAAGCAGGCGGCGATGTTTATCGGGTATAAGCGGCGGCAGCTGAGCCCCGGCCTCGCCACGACGCCAGGGTCGTCCACATAGCGAGCCGGGTCAAGACCGCCGGCGGCCGCCTGGCCGCGGGCGCACCAGATTTCAGTCACGGCCAAGGGCACGCTGAAATTCCGTGGGATGCTTCCAGTTCAAGACCGTGACGGCAGGCACGACGGCAGCAGCCGGCCGACTTCGCAACTGCCGAATTCGCTCGCCAAACGTCTCGTCAGCCAGGCAGGAGCCGTTCTGTGAGAAGCCGCTGCCTCTGTGCCGACACTGCTTGCGGGAGGGTGGCAACAGCTGCTGCGGCCAAACCGCTCACAACCCAGCTCTGCCTCCCTGGCGACGACTCCGAACTTGTCTGACCGCCGCCCATAATCCGCTGCAGTCGAAAACCAAACTCGCCGATCTATGCAGGCCAGGGCGGCCTTTTCAGTCAGCCGGGACGGTATCAGACGGCGCACTTTGCATACGTCCTGATGCTGCTGATGTCGATTCGAGGGGACAGGTTCTGTTGGCGACCTGACCATGGGCATCTATCACGGGGCGTGTGCCCGGAGCGTGGGCTCAGCCATATACCACCCGGAGAACCGCACACGGGCGCCGCCACGACCTGACCATGGGCATCTATCACGGGGCGTGTGCCCGGAGCGCGGGCTCAGCCATATACCACCCGGAGAACCGCACACGGGCGCCGCCACGACCTGACCATGGGCATCTATCACGGGGCGTGTGCCCGGAGCGTGGGCTAAGCCATATACCACCCGGAGAACCGCACACGGGCGCCGCCACGACCTGACCATGGGCATCTATCACGGGGCGTGTGCCCGGAGCGTGGGCTAAGCCATATACCACCCGGAGAACCGCACACGGGCGCCGCCACGACCTGACCATGGGCATCTATCACGGGGCGTGTGCCCGGAGCGCGGGCTCAGCCATATACCACCCGGAGAACCGCACACGGGCGCCGCCACGACCTGACCATGGGCATCTATCACGGGGCGTGTGCCCGGAGCGCGGGCTCAGCCATATACCACCCGGAGAACCGCACACGGGCGCCGCCACGACCTGACCATGGGCATCTATCACGGGGCGTGTGCCCGGAGCGTGGGCTCAGCCATATACCACCCGGAGAACCGCACACGGGCGCCGCCACGACCTGACCATGGGCATCTATCACGGGGCGTGTGCCCGGAGCGTGGGCTCAGCCATATACCACCCGGAGAACCGCACACGGGCGCCGCCACGACCTGACCATGGGCATCTATCACGGGGCGTGTGCCCGGAGCGTGGGCTAAGCCATATACCACCCGGAGAACCGCACACGGGCGCCGCCACGACCTGACCATGGGCATCTATCACGGGGCGTGTGCCCGGAGCGTGGGCTAAGCCATATACCACCCGGAGAACCGCACACGGGCGCCGCCACGAGCCCAGCGAGCGGGGCACACCGGTCTGCTGCACCGCAGCAGTCATCCGTCACATGTCAGCACGCGCCCGGCCGACCGGCTGAACACGAAACGCCAGGGGAGGGTGTCACTCTCACCCTCTGATATATCGAAACGTAAGAGTTGGAAATCACAGGACGGGTAGAACGCCATGTGAACGTGTTTTTGTAAATACTGTGCATCTCTAGGTGGCAGCGATCTCCGAGCGATTTTACGCCACACAAGGACAATTCGAAATCAGTGTTGGAAGTACCCTCCAGGGTTTTCACGCAACCGGCTACCACCTAAAATAGGCCCCTTTCGAAGCAAAAGAGCAATGAAGATAATTTCAAGCCGTAATCTTACCTGACATCAAGACGACAAAGATGGGAAAGAACTGAATATAATTTCCTCCGCATCTAAAGTGAGCTCAACTAACTGCTCTAAAGAGCGATATCTTCAAACCAAAAAGTCAACGGGGGCCATGTTAGGTCCATACGTTCCTATGCCCTTCACAAGGTCAGCACAAGACATCCGGTAACGTCTTTCATCAAGGAATTCGAAATGAGCGTCAAATGCTAATCCATAAAAACCTGAACTGAACGTCAAGTCCTCGTCCATAAATCATCTTGCCACCAAAACCCCATTCAGTTTTACCTTCATCTGACCCATTTCAGATCACGACCGCAGCTTTCCGACTTTCAGGATAAGATGAATGAATTTCCCGAATAGTCGCAAAGGTTTCCGGTTTTGAGAATGGTCTGACCTTTTCAAGACTTCGTTCCAACTTTTCCATCGAATGGAGTTCTGAGATCGGCGGCCATACTAGGAGATATTTGTTGCGTGACGCCCAGGCCCCACCATCCGATCAGGAAATTCTGGCTCCCAGTCAGAATTTCGCGAGGAAAGCTTCGACTACCGCAAGCCATGCCCGGGACAGCCCGTCTTGCCCCCTGACGTCACCTGACTAGCGGCCTCCGCCACCGGCC